CCTTACTCGAGCAGAACCTGATACACAAGGGGTTGATGTGCTTGGAGATTGTTTTTATTACCCTCTTCCCACTTCAGAGGCCTTCATTCTCTGTCATGATGGGATGAGAGTTTGAATACACCTACTGTGGTTTAGTAAAAATAATCAAACAAGAGGTTACAAAGTAACAGGGCTAGAAATGGAGGCAAAAATAAAGTCCAGTTATGTGAAACAGAGAAGGGAAGATCACATTTGACCACGTGACGAGACCTGAGATTCCTGCAAAATGCACTCACTCCGGTAGGGCAGTCGGCAAAGAGCCCCCGGGGTCAAGCACGGGGCAGACACAGAGGCCTTGCGGTTGGCTCGGTGCCATCTGAGCTCTGAAAGAATCTCGGGTCTATTTTGGCTTTGCAGTCTGAGTACAGTGGCCCTGGAAGAGCTGGTGAGCGTTATGCATGAGAGCAGATGGGAGGTTCTGTCAGTTATGTAAGAAAAATCTATAATTTGAGCCTTGAGACGTGAAGATGTCATATACTGAAAAGGCTTTCCTGGGTTTTTTTAATCATATGACATCAAAATGTCTATGCATAGAAGGTTAAGAAAAATCTACCTCAGCTGCAAGGTTAACATTCTTGGTAGGAAAATAGATTGTACTCAGTAGTTTTCTCTATTAAGTTTTTTAAAAAGAAACTCTGAGGTAGCCAGGTGTGGTGCTGCACGCCTATCATCCCAGCACATAGGAGGCTGAGGCAAGAGGATCGCTGTGAGTTCGAGACCAGCCTGGGCTACATAGAGAGTTCCAGGTCAGACTTAACTACACAGTGAGACCCTGTCTCCAAAAAAAAAAAAAATCTGATGTAGTAGGTAGTACAGCACTGCGCAGATTTTTTTTGTATTGTTTGGATTATCAACATAGTTAAGAAGTATTTCCCCTATCTTTATATGTGTGATTTAAAAAAATTAATGTCCTCCTGAGAATGGAAAGATGTAGATCAACAATTCTGTCAAAAGCAGTGATTTAGGGGGAGAAAAGCAAAAAAAGAAAGAATTAAACATCAGTTGTTAAATGCCAATTGTTGAGACAAGAAAGCAAAGCTAGAGTTAAAAGACACAGTTACTATTATAGTGATACCTTGGTTGTCTAACTCCATTCCTTCCAAATTCGTGTTTGAACACCTAAAAGTTCAAGAACTGAACATACTTTTCTCATGATAAATAATAGAAAACCGAACAATCGGTTCTGAGGCCCCCAAATTACACTTATACTTTCACTTTTCCAGGACTTGCGCAAATTTTGCAATGATTTCTTTCTTATTCCTGCTGTGGTTCTCACAGTTTTACTGCTGGTAGCGCTAACTTTCTTTGGAGCCATGGTTACGGTATTAAGAACAAAAGCAGCAGCACGGCGAATGTGTTGTTCATGGACATGGCGCCGTGCGCAGTCCGGAGAGGGCGGCTTACGCTGAAGCGTCACCCTCGTGTCCCCAGCGATGCGATGGGCGACTCACTTCCCTGCTCTACAGCTCTTTTCAAGTTGGGCTTTTGGTTGTCTACCGAGCAGGGTTCTTTCAAACTTGGCTGTTTGAGGAGTGTAAAGTTCGAGCCTGGAGCCGCTTGACCACCGGGGTGTCACGGTAGATGGTTTCAGACTATATAAGGCACAATATTTTTTAGAAATCTAAAATTTCCCCCTAAACTCTGCCCCAGTGAACTGAAGTATTTGCTCCACTGCTGGCCCAGCACAGGGCCTCTCCAAGGGGTGGAGGATGCAGGCTCCGCCGGGTCTCATGGAAAAGTAGCCCCGGCTTTCTCCCCTCGGCCCGCGGGAGCCTCAGGAGGCCCGGGAGGAGGCGGCGGGGCCGGCAGGACCGACGCCGAGGAAGCTGCTCGCTGCGGG